GGTGGCTCAGTTGTTGGGCGGCTGCCTTCGGCTCAGGTCATGATCTCAGGGTCCTGGGATCGAGCCCCGCATCGGGCTCCCTGCTCTGCAGGAAGCCTGCTTCTCCCTCTCCCACTCCCCCTGCTTGTGTTCCCTCTCTCACTGTCTCTCTCTGTCAAATAAATAGATAAAATCTTTAAAAAAAAAAAAAAAAAAGTTCCACTGTCTTTGCTCTGATAATGTCCAAACACTCTTTCTGATATTGGCTGTCTACTTTTCAGAGTCCACGATTCTGTATAGAGAACCACCATCACATACTACAGTTTACACAGGATGATTTAAGAAATAACCACTAGTGTTCTGTTTAACCTCGTAACAGACTAGGTATATAATATCACAAAATGATACATGGATATTCCAGCAAAACTATCAGAGCATGTGAATTTGGAATCTTAAATTTTTTTAGAAACAAAAATATTTTGTGGTAGTGCTTGCTTGTGGTTATAAATGGCTCCAATCTCTCCCAAAGATGCAGTTTAATTGCCCCAAAGCTCTGAATAGCTTGTCTCATAAAATAAGGCCTATTTAATCATAAGTATAACTTCCTGAAAAATACTATGTCTCCACACTCTCAAAGCATCTGCAACTCCCAACTGAAGCCCTTTCTCACTCTTAAACCAAAACAGAATTGACAGAAATGATTTTCCTTTTCTCTCTCCCCACCCCAACTAAACTCTAAGCTTTACATGAAGGCAAAATCATATCTGCTTTTGCTTATCACTGTATCTCTGGCACCCAAGGGGATAGTCCCTGGTATACAATAGGTGATTAATAAATCTCTGCTTCAAAAATAAAAGATGAATCCATCATAAATGTTAACAGAGAAAAGAACACCTTACTTTATGGGTTTACCGTTTTAGAAGGATTTTTTTAAAAGCAGTAGTTTCTGTTTTTTGGGGTTATTTTGATAATCTAGCATAAAGATGATCAAATATGTCAATGCATGATTTTATTTCTCCATGTAGACTGTATGCCTGTGGAGCATCAGTAGTAACTCTTTCATTCTCAGGCCTAAAACGTAATTATGAAGAGTTAATTTGCTACCAGAAAAGAAAAACTGATGCTTCAAAATAAAATTACTAATACATTTTCTTTTTATTGAATTATCTATAGCACTGATCACCAGCCCTCCTTCCATTAACTTTAATAATCAGCAGTTAACCCAATTGCGAAATTCCTTCAACTAGAGGACCACGAATTACCCACAATATCACAAGAGGATATATAGAGTAAACTACTAAAGATTTTTTTTTAAGTTAACATCACGATACAGAAGAAAGTATTGCAAAATATGTGGAATTTTTGTAAAATATTTTACTTTTGAAAAAAATGCCAAAACAATTTCCTCAAATAATAAATACAAAGTGCTTCACTGCAAAATATTTTACTAACATCTGGCACACTATGGTCTATAACGTAATAATGTACACATCTGCTCCACTGAACACACCGTAGGAGTCTGAGAATACTAAATATTCAAGTACTTTGTAAACTACAAATGTAGAAACTAATGATGCATTGTTATAAATATTAAGCATGTCCTTGATACATGCTTATAAATAATAATAACTTTATTTGCTTACCACAGCTTACAGACTAATACAGATGTACTTTACTAATGACTCAAATACCGTAAGTGGCATTGCCATCAGTTTTGTGATTTTCCAAAAACAGTGAACAATTCTTAATATAGTTCTGAATGAAATCTGAAATCTTCCCTAGATATACACATGTGCTAGGCCACTGTGCTGATGGTGAATTAAATGGCTTCCCTGTATCCATGTCCTTTGCCCTGTAACTTGGCAGTCCCCTCCTACTCTTTTATTCTGAATTTGGCAGCATGATTTTCTTTGGCAAGTTGTTCACAACTGTAATACAAGCATTAGAACAGATTTAAGTTATATACACAGATGACTGTAAACAGGTTTTCCCACATATAAATGTCTGGAGGAACATTCAAAGCATGTGGAACGTAGATTAATTCTGTTCAACACTTTGTGAGTCATCCAACAACCACTGCACTTACCTGCTTAAGCCCGTAATACCCCAATCAAGAACCAAATATGCCCCTCAGAACACTAAGCCCCCTGGAGGGAGTAGAAGATCCCAGACTGCTGTCTGTCAATTTACTCTCTTTTAACTGGTGAACCACTCCTTTTCAGGCATGACCCATTCATGCACAAGATGTATGACAGTAGTGACTTTTTAATCCAAAATATACATGATTGAGTATGGTCCTTTCCAAACTACTGACAGAAGATACACAGAATACAGCAACATGTTTTGAAATGAAAAATTAAGATTTGTACACTTTTTTCTATGCATGTTATACTTAAGACTTAAATGTTTAAATAAGATAAACTGATAATAAAGCACCCGCATTTGAAGTCTATAATGTTTTAAGTTGTGTTAATCATCCTGCACTTCATAATATCAATCCTCATCTTCTATGCATCTCTAAGTTTTTATAAACACAGTTACTGTTAACACTGTTAAGAATTAAATATACCTACCACAATACCCTGGTTCTAAGATGTTCTTAGGGACAGAAAGTATGTGTGTCCTCCTTAACATTTAAAAAGTTGGTATATTTTCTAACAGTATGAACTACAATAAATTTCCCTTTTTCTTTGTGCACTGTGTTTGTTCTGCCTTCAGTATCTTTTCCTGCCACAGGGTACATGGCTGGCTCAGTCGAAAGAGCATGTGACTCTTGATCTCAGGGTCATTGAGTTCAAGCCCCACGTTGGCTGTAGAGATTACTTATAAACAAACAAACAAACTTAAAAACAAATGAACCAGTATCTTCCTGCCAGCTTAGGTCCTGTTTTACTTCTATGAGATCTTCCCAATCCTCTCCTTTTCACCAACAAGTTGAGTCTCTCTTTCCATATTACTTCTAAAACTTCTTATTCTTACCATTATAACACACGCTATCACTGTTACATATCTGCCTCCCCAGCTAGATTTTAAGCTGTTAGCTAAGCCTATGAGAAATGCCTGTAACTGCATTCGCAGTACCTAGCACAGAGACTGCCCTGGTGAGTGCATTAAGTGACCTACCAATTTGCATGACTCTTTTTAGGATTAATATTCATGAACCCATTCCAGTCATCTCTAAGTTTACATTTTGTTTCTACTTTTTGATATGAGTTGCCTAAAATCAAGTATTTCCTTGTATATATTCTAAATTTATTTTGATATCAATCTTAATGACTGCCATATTTGACAACATGGTTGAACCTTGAGGACACTATGCTAAGTGAAATAAGCCAGTCACAGAAGGACAAAAACTGTATGATTCCACCTACATGAGGTATCTAAAACAGTCAAATTCACAGAAGCAGAAAGCAGAATGGCAGTTGCCAGGGGCTCAGAAAGGGGAATGGGGAGTTGCTAGTCAGCAGGTATAAAGTTCACTTACGCAAGATGAGTAAGTTCTAGAGACTTATTGTACAACACTGTCCCTCTATGTAAGAATACTGTATTGTCATTTACAACTTTTTTAAGAGAGGAGATCTTATGTTAAGTGTTCTTACCAAAATTAAAAGTTCCTTCAATCTTAGTACTTGGAAACCAGTCTTCACCCAACCTTAGCTACTTCCCGACAGGTACAAATTTTTTACTTACTTCTCCAATGGATCGTTTTTAGTTCTACTACTCTGAATTTATTTATTATCATTAGATTTTTAATCTAAGAACAGAATAATATTTATTTCTGATTCCATATTCTGATGTCCAAAATTTTGCATACTAGTACAACATTCTAAGAGTGCAACTAAAAGTTTATACTACTGGTCTAATCCCAAACTTTATGTATAAATAGTTCAGATTGTATTTCAATTGGTAAATATATTATTCTATACTTCATTACAAATCTTCTGCCCTTTCCCCTAGCTTTAGATTTTCCGACATCAGTCCGGAACTTGATTATGCAAAATAATTTATTATCAGCAAAATAGTGTGCTCACTTCTCTATATCATGTATTAAAAATATTTCATAGTTTTTAATTTATCCTTCTTCACTGTTTTAGAGACAAAAACACATGTGCATAACAAGAAGGCAAGCAAGTTTAAGATATTACTCTCAAAATGTTAGGGAAGAAAGATAAGCAAATTGTAAAATGTTTACATATATCTTCTCAGGGTGAAAAAGAAAAAAAAACTAATAAAATCTTAAAACAACTTTTTTTTCTATTATATCAAAAATATGCAAGCAGAATAGTGTAACTAAATTAGTATTTCCTTTCTATGAAATAATGAAATAATGGTTATTATTAATCCATTAGGATGATGGGCTCAATCTTATCCCAAAATGTCCACTTTTTCTGTCAGTTTTATAGTTTTTTCAATTAGATCACCACTCTTACCAACAGCATGGTAAAAACATAGAACTAAAAACAAGAAAGCAAACAAAGAGAATGAAATTACTGGAAACCCATTAAAGCAGAGTTAGAAGAAAAAGCTCCTCTCCAAATTCTTATTGGGTTCCCCTTAATGCTGGGCTGCCCCCAGCACTGCCAGCCTCCTCCCTACCCAGCACCTGCTCAAAACAAAGTTCAGCATGTAATAATAAAAAGGCATGAGGGGACCTCAAGTAAAAGCTGACCACACAATGACCTAACAGAAGTTTACTACAGTACCACAAAGTTAATTCTCTCTGTTGGCCTTTTAAAGCAAAGACTAACAGTTACTCCAATACTAGATGTCCTCCAAAAATGCCCTTTACATTCAACGTTGGTGAATTTTAGATACATGTTTCACCTCAGAATAAACGTATTTATTAGATATTTAGTAGATATTAATTCTAAGTATATTATTAAATGAGTACATTCTAAAATATCTAAATATGGAATACAAAGATAACTTTTTAGAAAGTGAAATTCACCATTCTAAACAACTTATTAAATCTTATTAAAATGACTGCCAACAAAAAAGTTAGAAATTGTAAAAACACTTACTTCATTTCCATGTTTTTGCAGAAATTCAATTTCCTGTTGTGTGAATGTTGTCATGGAGATAGATTTCACCCTGTGTGGTGGATTTAACCCTCTCCTAAAAGATAAAATATTTTACAAATTTACTATTATGTATCTTAAAAATTACACATCAATGTGAAACATTTTTAACTAGGACATTTAAACATGAAACAGTGTTCACTCTATAAACTAAAAGTATTTAAAAATTATTTTAAACTATTAATCCCCACAATAGATATGTCAAGGTAAGTTAGGTTCACACTAAGTACTACGTTTAGGGGCGCCTGGGTGGCTCAGTCGTCAAGCATCTGCCTTCAGCTCAGGTCATGATCCCAGGGTCCTGGGATTGAGCCCCGCATTGGGCTCCCTGCTCCACAGGAAGCCTGCTTCTCCCTCTCCCACTCCCCCTGCTTGTGTTCCCTCTCTCGCGGTGTCTCTCTCTGTCAAATAAATTAAAAAAAAAAAATCTTAAAAAAAAATAATACATTTAAATATAAATTCAGGTAACTATCTAGTTAGGAACACATAGTACCTGTAACACATGAGCTTCTAGGAAATACAAATATTGCTTTACTGTGTTTCTAATGGAAGGAAAAAGACTATGTAAGGACTCTACGGTAAAGAATTCAAAAAGTAATTAACCACTTAAATATTTTCACATTTCCTAAGAAAATGACAAGGATTTGTTAAGTCTGGAGCTATACAAATATTCTAATCAAACAGCCATTACCTTTAAGCTTGAGGCTGATCTGAAAACTGAAAACTAACCCAAGAAAACTGGAAATTATTAACCCATAAGAAGTCTCACCTCTCCTTCAATTAAAATAAAAATTTATAATAAAGGACATTTCAATCACCTCAGAAGGCAGTAAGTGTTCAAGAAGAAACTGAAGAGACATGAAGGAATTCGAGAAATACCTGGATACATGCCTTCAAATGCCTTTGAAGTTCTTTTACAACCTTGAAGCCTTTTCTGTATAGATGGCCTTAAGAGAACTTTGTATCTATGTTTCTTGATGTTTACAATGCACATTAAATACTGATAGAAATGCACTCAGAGAAGAGTAAAAACTACATTTTGTCCAGTTATCATCACAAAGTGGCCTACTCCACGACCCACAAAAATAAGGTTAAATAATCGATGCAATGTAACAATCTATGCAAAGCTTCATAAAATTATGTCTGAGTCATGCTCTCTGCCAAAGGCCTCATTTGGAATCCAAGTTCTAAAACAGATTATTAATACTTTTACATAATTTGTCATAGTCATCTTGGAGTCATCCATGTTGATTGAGAGATTTAACAACGATGTAAAATAATAAATGAACCAAAAGTCTTTTAAAAACCTGAAAACATTTCTGAACAATTAAATACGGTGTGTAATAATCCTAGAAATTCACAGTATTATAATTCAACAATAAGGGAAATTCAGAATTAACAGAAGGTCCTCAATTATCGTATCCCACTCCTCTCTCCCTGACAACTGTCAGAGATAGGTGGTTTATCTTTCGAATCATGCTTTGAATTAGGGCAAAGCACTTTATCTGTTTCATTATTTTGAAGACGGAAAACATTAAGTTGGGTTTTGTTGCTGTTTTGTTTTGTTTAAATTTTAAACTAACTCATTTACTTCTAGCTCTTGGTTAAGTTATAAGATACAGAAATAAAGATTGCACAGCAGAAGAAACCGAACACAGCAATTTCATCCTTGTAAAACTTTAAAACTTAACTATGAAAAAACAACTACAGAATGAATTATTTTCATGTAAATTTGCAATCACAAAGTAAGGCTTTAAAAATATCTTCTAAAGGGCACCTTGGTGGCTCAGTTGGTTAAGCATCTGACTCAGGTTTCTTCGGCTCAGGCCCTTATTTCAGGGTTGTGAGATCAAGCCCCAGCCCAGCTCTGCGCTCAGTGGGGTGTCTGCTTGAGATTCTCTCTCTCTCTCCCCTCCACCCACTCACACGTACTCTCTCTCTAAAATAAAATAAATCTATCTTTAAAAAATAATTAAAATAAAAATATCTTCTAAATTTCCAAAAGTGAAAATGTAGGAAAGTCATTATTCATTTAAAGCAGTACACATTGTTTTCCAATTCATCTGTATTATGAGAACAAGACTAGATTCACCATTTTCAGGGAAGTTTAATTTATGATGTGTATTTACATCCTACCTTGTTCCAAAATAACGTAAGAAGGAATTAACTTATTATTCTCTTAAATTTCACTACTCTTTCCTCTAACTTAGCAACTTAATCTTTCCTTATTTCCTAATACCTCCTTCCTTGTTCCAGCCAACCATTTACTTCTCCACCTCCCTTACAGTATCCTTTTAAAAAAGGAAAAGGCAAAGGAGTAATTTTCTAATGAGGAAATGTCAAACACTATTACAACAGTGTATGTATGTTTTGGATAAGAAATTTTGGAGCAAAGGGGCGCCTGGGTGGCTCAGTCGATAAGCGTCTGCCTTCGGCTCAGGTCATGATCCCAGGGTCCTGGGATTGAGCTCCGCATCGGGCTCCCTGCTCGGCGGGAAGCCTGCTTCTCCCTCTCCCACTCCCCCCACTTGTGTTCCTGCTCTCGCTATCTCTCTCTCTGTCAAATAAATAAAATCTTTAAAAAAAAAAAAAAAAAGAAAGAAATTTTGGAGCAAAGAATTATGCCCCTATATTTCTCAGACCATTAAATGAGGAAACCCCTGATTCATTTTTATTTATGTTGTACAGATGTAATCTCATGAGAACAGTATAGTGTATAGCTTATTCACTCACAGATCTCATGGTCCTATGGTATCACAGGATCTACTTATGCATAAAGAAGGCATTCATATTATTTAAATAAGTGATAATATTTTGAACTTACAAAACAAATACAACCAGAATGAACTCATAACCAAACTATGAAAAGACAGTTTTTCCCACTAAACAAGAACATTTAGTATAGGACTTCTTTAAGTGAGCTGACTCGGTGCATTTAAAATAGGACTCAATCTACACAACTGCAAGACACAATTTTGCCAGGCCACAATAATTATACAAATTACATAACTCCAAGGAAATTTTACATTTGTTCATGTTGCCTTCTCTAATTGCCCTTTTATTCCCATTTACTCAGGCAGATTAACCATACTCTCAATGCAAGGATATACACAGATTTTTCTCCTTTTAGCCTCCAAAAGCTTTACGTAGATATTACATGCTTATAAAATAATTCGGTTAAAAAAAGTAGTTAAATCCAAAGTGAAAATTGATAATCTCATACACTACGGTAGGATAAATTCACCAATTTGTATCAAATCAAGAACCTCATTCATACCTTTTGACCCAGTAGTACCCTTTAACAATCTATTCTAAAGGAATCTGAAACATAGCTAATTATGTACAAGACGTTCATTAAACAGGATTCATAACAGGAAAACATGAGGAATACCTCAATATCAAAGAGGAAGTGATTAAATAAATCACAGTAACACTGTAAACATTATGCATACTTATGGTTATGTTTTAAGTTTTTAGGATGAAAATTATACAGTATTCTCAGAACTACATAAAAAATCTCTGCAAAGAAAACAAACTAAATACCCCCAAATGTTAGCAGTTCTTGCATATAAATGATAGGATAGGATGATTTCTTTCTATTTATAATTTTCCATTCTCTCCAAGTTTTCCACAATGAATATGCATTATTCTATAATAGGAAAAAGAAACAGCAAGAAATAAGAAAGAGTCCAACTGACTAGTAGCAGTAGTCAAAAATTTTGGACTTTCAGTCCTGGCTGTATGGATGTGAATGTCTGTGCGGAAGAATTAGAGAAAGAAAATATGGGAAGGGGAGAACAATCTTCCTTTCTAAGGCTTTCCTCCAGTTTTTCTAAAAAACCTGGAAAGCCTTTCCTCCCAAATATACCCACCAGCATCAACACTTTATCTTCATTTTATTTCTCTAAATCAGGGTTTTCTCAATTTTGGCACTATTGGCATTTGGGGCCAGGAGGGGGCTGCTCTGTGCATTGTAGGATGTAGAGCGGCATCCCCAAAGTCTATCCACTGAATAAACAGTAGCATCCTCAAACCAGTAGAGACAATGAAAAATGTTTCCAGATGCTGCCAAATCTCCCCCAGGGAGCAAAATCCCTCTAGTTGAGAATCACTGCTCTAAATATGCCAAATGTTCATTACCAAGCAAAAGAAATTACTGGAATTCCTTTGGCTCTTTACTGAATATAAATCCTACCTAAGTTCAATCTTCTACAAAACACTCTACACATTCACCCCATATACAATAAAAAAAAAGTTGAATTTTCCCATAAAGTCATTATTTTCAGAAGAAGAGAAAATAGAAATTAAGTTTTTCTATGAAATGATAAATAACAAGATAAATATACAAGTTTAAAATTTGTCTAGTACATATTAAATTTAAATTAGAAAAGACTAAGGAAAGTATCCACAAAAAATAACCAAACATGGAACTATATTATGTCAAACATGCTTAAAACAAAATATAAGTTAATAAGGCAGAACAAAATTAATATTTATGAAGTACCTATATGGCATATTTAATCTCATTCAATTTCTACTTTCAATTGTATGGTAGACCAGATATTCTGAAAAGTCTCCTCTGCTAAAATATGAGAGATACTCTGTAAGTTACAAACCAAAACCAACAAAAAAATCCTGTTAACATATTGTTGAGCTTTCTAGAAAGTAAAGGAAATCTCTAATGATCCCCTCCCAAAAGGAAAAAAAAGACAAAAAAAAATTAAAAACTGAGCAGGAACCAGAAGAGTGACACATGTTATATCCAAAATTTAGTATTGCTCAGAAGGCAAATACCAACCAAAAATAGCAAAGACAAGATGAAAGAGCTGAGAACCTGAGATTAAACCTAAAGATCCTGGATGAGAAAAAAAGCTGCTTCAGGCTGTAGTACCCCTGGGTCCCACCAGAAGAATATGCAAATCCCCTCAGAAGGAATGCACTTTCAATCTATGCTACCAGGATTTGGAAAAATTAGGTTCAATAAATCATCACACAACAACAAAATGTGACACTGGGCTTGTCAGCAGAAACATCTTT